TCCTTCCAGAAATGACTCTCATCTGTGCGCTAATCCTTTAAAATTGTAAAATCCTAGTTAACTCATGTTCGACGCAATTACTGGACTTCATTCGAAACATTTTAAGTGCAAAGTTGAAAATTCACTAAAATTACCTGATGCGTTTAAGGGAGGAATTTGATTTGATTAAGCAAAGTGACAAGTATTGCCAATACTTGTCAGCTGGCACGTCTCTTTACGCTGTTGATTTGCTTACCAAAAGAATTAACTTACCACGGTTAACAGAGCACTCGATTGCTTCTGCTGGTGGGGCAGGTGGGCTTAACATATGCTGCGATAGCGGCGTCTCCTTTCTAGGATTTTTTTAAGAGAAAATCAAGGTAATTCTCTTGATTTAGCTCCTTGTCTCCTGTTCACTTTACATACCTCAATTGAGAACGTGATCTTCTGGGTTGGGGTGAGATGGTTCCAAAATCGCCACGAACTGGGGACGTTAATGGTGTTTTATGCTTTGTGCTTTCGCTTCTTGAGGGAGTCTAATCAAAATAAGAAGTGGATGAACAACGACTCCTTGAAACCATCTTTGCATAATTTACCAGGTCACCTGATTAAGGGATGGTGTTGGGTAATAACTTGGAAGTATGGGAATAGACGCAGTCCTGTTTGATTCCGGGGTGGATTCACCAGTAGTGCCTCCACTTTTATCCTGGTCGGTCTTTTTCGACTGACTGCGACTAGAGCAAAGTGGTTCAGATAATGGCGACTTAACGACTGACTGATGCAAGTTATTCTGTGGGAAGAAAGAAATAATTATGACTTGCAAGTATAATTTAAAATGTCATCAATTGGAGATCAAAATGCTATAAGTACCGCTGATGGTAGCTCCTCCTCCTCCTCCTCCTCCTCCTCCTGATGGCTATGTGGACACTTCTTAGCAGCAAGTCTAAAGTCCTCATCGCTCTGCTCATCAATTGGCCACAAATCACGGGTCGGGTTCAAACGCCCTCCATTCTCTTCGTTCAGAAGCACTCGCTAAACAAGGACTTTTAACTTTCAACTAGCATCTCCATGTATCTCCATGATCCTTAGAGAAAACAATCTGTGGGCCATTTTTAAGGCACTTTTGGACATGCGCAAATAAACAGAATCATTATTGTTTCATGACTGTTAAGCGATTTGCTAATTGCTTGGAACACTTGAGATTTTTCACAAAAACTGACATACCGTAATTGACGCGGCAGCACGATTGGCAGCTTCAGCCAGAGAGTTGTCGGTGTTTAAAATAATTGGAACTTTGGAGAACTCCTCCATGATTGAAATGTCTTTGTCAGAGCTCTCACTGACTTGTGTCAAGGTTGAGACAGAGACCTCGTTCAGTTCCTTGACCTCGTTAGTCTCCACCTCACTGTCCCACGGACTGCTTTCAGATTGGGAGGAAGCCTAGACCAAAGGTCACGATAGATAATAATTAAAGGATTAACGCACGTTTTGAGAATTTCTGTCGCCATCTTGAGGTACTAGTGGGTGAAGACTTTCCTTAGCCTCTTCTTCGTCTGTGGAGTCCCAAGGGCTGTCCATCTCCTTTCTGTCTTCAATTTCAACTTTTTTATCTTCTTCTGCGGGAGGATCTTCATGCACGGACTGTAAGATGAAATGAGTGCATAAGTACTACATTTTATTTGCAAATTGCAAAGGAACAGGTGAATGAGGTAGTTG